CCGATGTCATTTATTATCGTTGCTGAAGTACTTCAAATCTTCACTAGTGATCTCCAAGAGCTTCGCAAGCTTACTGACCACATTGCTGAAATTGAAGAAGATATAAAAGTGTCGTTAGATACACACCATCGTGAAGGGCCTTACGATGCCAGTTTAACATGGGTAAATATTACTGGGTCTGTGCAGGCGTATGTTACAGTTTCTAGCGTGTGTGTGTTGAAGAGATAACAACTGTTCGTGTTGGCCAAAATACTGATTTTCCAGGGGTAACCGACGACTTTCCCCATACTTACCAATGATTAATGAATCGATTCCGACATCAAAGTTAGCCTTTTTTCGAAAAAAAAAAAACAAACAAACTTAGCTTACTGTCAACCTGTGGACGGTGATTAACAACATCTACTCTAATAAATAAATTAATTTTTGGATATTTCGTTTCTTTTATTTTATGCAGGGTGTAGACAGAATAGACTACGAGAAGAATGATGACCTTTTCTTTACCTGGGGGGTGGGCAACGGGATAGACGCCTACGTCGTTGACACCGGAATTAACCCTGATCATATGGACTTCGGGGGAAGAGTGTCGGCAGGTAAAGGAATTTAACTGGAAGAACATGAGAGAGAGAGAGAGAGAGAGAGAGAGATGTGAGAGAGATGTATAATAATAATTAAGGTTTTTAAAGAGGGTAAAACATGTTAAGTGTATATACTTATCTTACACATGGCCCTCTGAGGGGTTAAAATAAAATTTTGTGTAAATGAATAAAAGAAATAAATTAATCCAATTAAAATAATATTGTAATAAAACTGAAACAAATTAAAAATAATAATAGTAATACGAATAAAGCAAGCAAACAAACAAAAACATTGTGTTAGTAAAAATCTAAAAGCTATTTAACTTAATAAACATATACATAAAATTTATGTTTGATTATTAAAACGATTTTTGAAAGTATCCGAGACTTTGAAGTGTTTAATTTCAGAGTTAATGCAGTTATATATTTTAATCGAAGTCCATATTGGACATTTAGTTAGTATATCTTTAAGTCTACCAATTGGTAAATAGAGACTCCCTTATTACTTGATCTTGGGATTCTGCCTGTAGTGTCTCCAAGGTTGTAGTACTTAGTATGTCCCCAATATATTTTGGTAAAAGTCCATGTAAAGATTTTAAAAACTAGTGTTGGTTTCTGAAATTCTATCCGTTCATAAATTGTTTGCCAGTTTAGTTTCTTGAATAGTTTATTTGATGGATAGTTCTTGGCTTCCTCTTGTGTGATATCGAGAATGATTCTTGCACCACGTTTTTGAAATATGCACAAGACAGAAATCAGAAGATGGCTTTTCTCATCAAAGTTCTGTGAATTGTATTTCAGGGTGGCACGCAGGTTCTTTTGCCGATAGTAGAGACGATATGGGGCATGGTACCCATGTGGCCAGTATCTTAGGTGGCGCCACCTATGGAGTAGCCAAGGAGGTGAACCTCATCCCCGTCAAGGTATGCAGCCACTCTTGTACAGAGTCGGAGATCCTGGATGGGCTAAACTGGGTAAAGGCACAGGTACTACTATACAAGCGTCTGTCAGTAATAAATATGTCCCTTAGTGGTCCTAAACGCCCGTCCTTCAACAACGTTGTGAACGCGGTAATCGATGCAGGCATCCCAACGGTAGTCAGCGCTGGAAATAGCTACGGGGGCGATGCATGTGCCAGATCCCCTGCGAGTGTAGGCAGGGCCCTCACGGTTGGAGCCACCCGGATAGGTGATTACGTGGCTTCATTTAGTGACATCGGACCGTGCGCCGATATTTACGCTCCAGGGGAGAACATCAAGGCCGCTTACTATGGAAACAACCACGGTTCGACCCTGAAAAGTGGGACCTCAATGTCCGCACCTCACGTCGCCGGTGCTGTCGCG